TGGCTGGCGAGATGGATAAACGCGTTACGACAACGTGGGTCGTGGTTGTTCTTGCAGACGCTTCTGCTTACCAGGACTGATGATGCGCGTGGCAGAGCTGGGAGGCGTGCCTGCCTAGCATGAGCCAGATGGGGCGCAAAATTCATTTTGCAGCTCAGTCTGGCAGGAGCGAGAGCGTACGCTATCGTGACCTTCTTCGATTAACAGTATTACCTGCAGGCCGTTCCCTCCAGCCCGACAAGTATTGCGATGTATACCTTAGTACGGTTCAAAGACAGAGACGAATACATTTGTGAGCCGCGATGTTCAAAGGCATCAGATACACAACATCGTCGCGCTCTGGCGCTCGCTCACCCTGGCCTATCTTTAACCAGAGCTGGTCATCGCAAAAGCGCTTACATGGTTGCTGTTCGATATATTGAAGACAGACACATGCTGAATATCGATAGAGACATACGCATCTGAGTAGAGTATCGGATCAGAACGACGGTGAGTGCTGGTCCTTGGTTTGGACTTAGAGTACTCGCAGCTTGCAGGTCGGCAGTTTATCCAGATATTGAGGTCAGTTTGGATTGACATGGTCGCAGCGGTAGCAGCATCAGCAGCTCAGACTGGCGTAAAGGACTGTCGCAAAGAAGCACGTGGAGTCGTGCGTTCAACGTGTAGCCTAACCACGCCGCAGAGATCGTTCAGCAATCCATCCCTCACAAGATCACACAGGCCAAATCTGAACTGTTATTTCCTTCGCAGTCGAAGCCGTTCAATTAACCTCAACGACCCTGGAACGCGCGCGTCTGACATGACGGGACGAGCAGGCGGTCCGCCAAATGCTGCGACAGTTCACCGCAGCGACATGCGTGCATTGTATCCGGACTGCTACCTCACAGGCGAGCGACAAGACGTGCGTTGGTTGTTGGCGTTGGCGTTGGCTGTCATGCAGACGTTGGTGATGGGCAAGCTCACCTCGTTGGAGATGAAGTCACGCTAATGGGTCCGTGCACCACAAACTCGAATATTCAGTTCGCTTAGTCGAGCCACCTGGAATTCGCATCCATCGAGCTCTCCATCACGACAACTAACCTCACAGCACACCGGAGTCGAGCAAAATGTCGACATTCGAACCCGTCATTGTACGTACGCCCCGATAGACGCAGCCCGATATCCCAGGCACTGGCCTTCGCATGCCGCCGCACTGCCAGCCGCCTGCAATCCCGTCAACACCACGCATCTTCCTTGGACGTCTCGCTGACAGCGCACGCAGGTCATCGACGGCAAGGGCCACTTGCTCGGTCGCCTCGCCAGCACCGTCGCCAAGCAGCTCCTCAACGGCCAGAAGATCGTTGTTGTGCGATGCGAGGCCCTCAACATCTCCGGCGAGTTCTTCCGCGCCAAGTGTACGTACACCCACCGAACGAGCGAGCGAGATCAGGAGCAAGCCATGGAGTGCAATTGGTACATGGGGCTACAAGAGGATGATGTGGCCGGCGATTTGCACTTTGGCTGCTTTTTGGCGGAGCGCTCTAGGGACAATTTTCTGGCAAGACAGCAACTGACATGACCCTACAGTGAAGTACTCTGCTTTCCTGCGCAAGCAGACCCGTTACAACCCCACTCGTGGTGGTACGTATCCCCGTCCATACATGGCGCATTCGCGGTCCAACGTCGAATGTGCGCGTTCCTAGCCGACATGTGCTGACCCATCTGCCAGGTCCCTTCCACTTCCGCGCTCCCTCCAAGATGTTCTGGCGAACCGTCCGCGGTATGATTCCTCACAAGACTCCCCGCGGTAAGGCCGCCATGGAGCGCTTGAAGACCTTCGAGGGTGTCCCCGCTCCCTACGACAAGAAGAAGCGCGTCGTCGTTCCCCAGGCCCTGAGGGTGCTGAGGCTCAAGCCCGGACGCAAGTACTGCACTGTCGGCCGTCTCGGACACGAGTTCGGCTGGAAGTACCAGGACGTCGTTGCCCGGTATGTTGCTCCAGCCTATGTCAGCGAGATCAGAAATGCTAATCCATACGCAGTCTTGAGGAGCGCAGGAAGGTCAAGGGTGCCGCATACTACGAGCGCAAGAAGGCTATCCGCCGGCAGATGGCTGAGGCCAAGAAGACGGCCTCCGTCGACTCCAAGGTCCAGCAAGAGCTCACATCCCTCGCATACTAGAAATCGGCAGTCGATGAACAGTGTCGGTTTCAGTTTCGGTGACGTGGTTCGGCGTGGATTGCATTGGGCTCATGGGATGTTTATTTCCTCTACTATACTCCGACCATTCGAAAGGGTGTCCAGGCTAAAAGAGCACATCAATACCAGGGTGCTTACGTGTTCATGGGTCTCTTCGCGGTCGGTCTGCTGTGTCTTCAGGTACTCTTCCGGCTAGAAGCAATACGAAATGAAAAATCCCAGCTGATGTAAAGCATGGTGACGGCGTTGAGCATTCAGCAATAGACTTGTGGTTATGTTAATTCACTCACGATTCCCCTTATGCTTTGCATCCACCCTGCCGTGACGAAATGGACAAGTACCTTGCATTACAGCCTCGTAGTCCGATGTGTCTGCGATCCGGCGCGGTCGGGAGGATAGGGTATGCCTACTGGCGCTTAACCTCGGCTGTGACGTCGTGCCGCACCGGAACCGGTACCCTTCCCCAGGTTTCCCCATGGCTGGGAGCTTCAGGGTCATCTGTCAGCCATTGCGCCCTGTAAGAAACGTATCAGACCACGTTGTTCAGAGTATCACGACATCATTCTTTCCGTCGTCGCGCACCCCTGTCAAAAATCGCGTCCTGCAGCCCTCTCATCGCTCAAGACCTCGGACATCTCTCGCATCTCGTCCCACAGCGGAGCTACTCCGCACTCTGGCGTCTGTAGCTTCAGCTCAGCTGGGCCAAACTGTAGATCAATATTTCCGTCGCGTGTATATAAGCTGCTGTTAGAACGTTGATTCACCAGATCCTCGTGCAGATACAATGGAAGGTGCTAAAGATCGTCTCAAGCAACTCGCGTCGCATTTCACGTCCGCCAACCCTGTCCCTGGGCCACCGCCCATCCATCCTGGCGACAGCCACGAATACCATCATCGACACAACTTCCACACCCTCAGCCCGACATGGTTCCTCTGGCGCGCAGCGCAAATCGAGCCAGACGCCATGGCAATATACCACAAGACAGCGAACGGCAAGATCCTACGGCGCTCCTACGCTGAAGCTGCGGACCGCGCACGAGGGCTGGCATACTACCTGAGGAAACACGAGTATAAGAGGGTAGGCATATTGGCGACAAACACACCAGCATTCCTGGAGAGCACATTCGGTATCGCGGCGGCAGGAGGTGTCAATGTCGCTATCAACTACCGGTTGAAGCACGATGACATCAGTTACATCTTCCAGCACTCAGACGTGGACATGATCATTGCCGATGCTGAGTTTGTGGGCTTGTTGGACGAATACAAGAAGGAAAGACCAAACGTACCCATACTGATTGACACAGACACCGATGCGACAGAAGGCGAACTCTCGGGCCCTTTCGACGATGCAGTACTCGAGGGATTGAAGTACGATATTGAGCAAGGAGGCAAGGGCTGGGCAGATCTGGAGTCGCAGGCGAAGGACGAGGAAGACGTCATGGCACTCGCATACACCAGCGGAACAACAGCACGGCCGAAGGGGGTCGAATACACACATCGCGGCGTCTACCTTGCTGCCATGGGCAATGTCATCGAGTCTGGGCTGAACTATCATACCGGCCGCGCAAAGTACCTCTGGACTCTGCCAATGTTCCACGCGACGGGCTGGACATTCCCGTGGTCAGTCACCGCCGTCCGAGGAACGCATTATTGCCTCCGCAAGATCGACTACGCAGAGATCTGGCGCCTGCTCAAGGAGGAAGGCATCACGCATTTCAACGCCGCACCAACCGTCAACACCTTACTCTGCGCAGCGAAGGAAGCAGAGCGCCTACCCCAGCCAGTCAGAGTCACCGTAGCCGCAAGCCCACCGAGCGCATGGCTCTTCGAACAGATGTCCAACTTGAACCTACACCCCGTCCACGTCTACGGTCTTACGGAAACGTACGGTCCGATCACGAAAGGCTACCACATGCCCGAATGGGAAACGCTCCCCGAGAAGACGAAATACGATCGTATGGCACGACAAGGCCACGGCTTTATCATGGGCAAAGCGACGCGAGTCATCAAGACGGAGCAGCCGGAAGGCGTCCTCACTGACGTGGAAAGAAACGGCAAAGAGATTGGAGAAGTCATCTTCGAAGGCAACATCTGCGCAAAGGGCTACTACAAAGATGCCGAAGCGACGCGCAAGTTGTGGGAGGGTGGCTGGTTGCATACAGGCGATCTAGCCGTTTGGCATCCAGATGGAGCAATCCAGATCCTGGATCGTGCGAAGGACATCATCATCAGTGGTATGTTGTTGACTTTCCGAGCCTCACTCTTTTGACGCGACCTGCTAACCGAATGGCTCACAGGCGGCGAGAACATCTCCAGCGTAGCGCTCGAAGCCATGCTTTCCACGCACCCTTCTATCCTCGAAGTCGGCGTCTGCGCCGTGCCGGACTCACACTGGGGCGAGCGGCCCAAGGCTTTTGTTACCACAAAGGACGGCACAAACAGCGACACGTTGGGCGATGAGGTGATTCAGTGGGCCAAGGAGAACAGCAACATCAGTCGCTTCATGGTGCCCAGGGAGGTCGTGGTGGTCAAGGAGCTGCCCAAGACGAGCACGGGGAAGATACAGAAGAACGTACTCAGGGAGTGGGCGAGGAAGGGCAGTGTAGAGTAGCTGTGCTTACGGAAAAAATATCATACCTCCTCCACGGGGCCTCTCGGTCGCAAACACAGATGCAGAGTCATGTGTCTGCACCACCCGTGAAATTTGAGCACATGGTGAAGCAGCGTGGTAAGGGAAGCAATCGATGCTGCTTCTCCATTGAAAAGGAACTCAATGAGCCTGCGGTTCTGACTCAGATGTCAATTACTCTTAATCGATCCATTATGTTTTCACCTGACGAAGCTTTCATCAACACGAGCGAGATACTCAGCGATGCCGAGGCTCAATTCATCTACAACGGAGTTGAGGACGAGGTCGCTAAAGAGAACATTGATGCTGGACGTGTAGGAAATTCTAAAGACGATCCTAAATTTGCAGAGGCCAAAGCATATGCCGATCCAGAAGTTTCCAAGCAACTGCCCGCGGCTATTTTACAGGCTGAGGTTGAAGCTAGGACCGGACAGGGAGATCACTCGGGAGACCGGGCCGCTGATCGGGGATATGAGGTCGACAATGAACACCAGGCTAACGATGACGGACGGCACGCTGAGGTGAAAGGTGTACAAGCCCACGAAGGAAACGCACGAGCTGATGAAGAAGAGGTACAAGCCGACGACAGAGGTGTGCAAACCGACAATGAAGGAATACAGTCTCAGTACGGAGGCCTCAATATGGAATCAGCAATCACTAGCAGAGGAACAGAGAACACAGGTAAGTATCGAACGCCATTCTGCTTGATATAGTCCAGCTGACGCGTTAGACGATTCTGAAGCATCTGCAGCACCAGAACTGAAACGGTACAGAGAGTTTGTGCTTTCCAAGTTGCCCCTATCAGACGAAGACCAGAATGAGGTACGCGGGCTTCTTGATCAGTACGGTTGGCCAACGGTCTGGCAGTCTCTTGACTCAATCGAGGGCTGCGAAGATGGTCCTACATGGACTTGGCAAGATGTGGACAATGACCTGCTCGTGAGGCTGGGGGACGAGAGACTGCTGGGAATGGACGAGATAGCAGAGTACATATTCATTGGTATGCGAGTCAGTCAGTGTCATGACCAGTATAATTCTCTGACAACGGAATAAGAGGGGGGTTTAGAATATGTGTATAGTTTCGCTGTATACACACTGAATTGGCTGAATTGGCAAGATACTGTCGTTATGACCCTTCGCCGAGGATCGCACCCTCTGTTGAGGGTCACCGGAAGTGCCGGTACGATCTCAATACCACGTGCCCCCCTACAAACGAAGGAGTACCTAGGTAAACACCAATATGAGTCCTACGTCAACGTAATATCTTGGGTCGCAATGATACGTCGTGGCAAGCATGACCCCGTCCTACTGACTGATATCGCATCAAGTTTGTACGTCAGCAAACAGTGAGTATTATATAATGCTGATAAGCCAACCCTCTTGCAAGTCCTGACTGATACCTATCATGGCCTCCACATCATCTAGTGTAGATGTTCCCGCACCAGACCCAACTGTGGCGCCTACAATTCAATCACCTGGTAACCAAGCGCTAAACGATGTCGAGAAAATCCGGGATCTGGTCGCACGACGCAATCAAGCGCTCGACTCCTTAGACCTTGACCAAGAAGAGAAAGATGAATTACGTAAGGATTTGAATCAGACAGGTTGGCCGGTAACTCTTTGTAAAGGTGGCTCACAGGCAATGAGGGCCACGAATGAGTCGTTCGATACCCGCGATCTCTATGCACTGCTCTGTATCATGCGACACATGATCATACGACACCCCGATGTTGTGCCCGACGAATTGAATCTCTTCTTCTTGAATCAGGACAGCAAGAAGTTTAGCAATAAGTGGAGCAAGATGCAACAGAAGTGCAACGATAATTGGAATGAAGCAGATGACGAGGAGCTGATAAGGCTGTACGAGGGCATCAACAAGACTTTCAAGGATATTGCTAGTGAGCACTTCGCAGAGTTTCGAGAAGCCGCGAAGAAATTTCCGGAACCGGGTATACTGATCGAGATTGCGCATCTCACAGCTAAGAAAAGGCTGACAGCTAAAGAAAGGAAAGCGAAGCAGATGGCATTGGCAAATCAATGGAAAGCAGTACAAGGGTAGTGGGAATCTCAACAACTGGTGGGAGTACTCAAAGCTTACCGTAACTCTATGAGCATCCCAAGTCTCCCAATATCTGTAGAATGAATAGAACATGCCTTCATTGCAGTCAGTGATACCTGTGTGCGTACTGCGCGTGACGTATGGAGCACATGGCGAAGCCATACGGATACGAGAGCAATCGAAACTGAGAACGTAATGGAGAGAAGAAGACATTCAACTTACCGATTCTATAGCTAACTCCACCCATCCGCCATCAGTCACTCTCATTCTCGACCACATCCACCAACCACAGCATGTCGTCGAACGACCCAGTCGCCACTGCATCCGGTAACACAAGCACGATACTCAGCAACCTGGAGTACTTATTCGTCTACAACGGTCTAGCAGACGTGATAGCTACTGAGAGTCAAAGAGACGGACGCACGGGCCCATTTGCCGATGCGTATGCTAACGCCCAGATGTCTCTACGATTGTCTGCGGCGGTTGTACGTGCTGAGGAGCAGAAACTAATCATGGTAGCCCATCTCGCATCGAAGAAGAAGAATGACCAGGGATCTAGTGGCAACAACCAAGGAGTTGAAGGTAATGAACACGCTGGCCAGGGATACGACGATGGCACAGGTAGCAGTGCAGGTGGCAGGAATTAGGGCGCCAGACAAGAACAATCCTGTGTTGCCACCTCAATTGAAACGTTTTACGGAGGTGTAGTCAGAAAGTATACATATTCGAGGTAGCCTCTTGTTATCGGGAAGTGATGTCGCCGGAAGTGTGAGAGATGGATACTGGCACGTAGCTTCCAATTCCACGATCGCTGAGACTCTAGCGCGAGCTGCTAGCCCATCTGGGCGTGTGACTTCCGTAATCCCAATAAGCTTGGAAGGGCGTTGATCTCCAGACAACTGAGCTGAATCACACCAAGCTGTTGCATCGACGCCTTTATCGCAACGTGACCCTCCTTGTCACCATAAGCGCTCACATCACCCACCCGTGAATACCCACGAACACCACATCGAACCAAGCCTGCGCCGCCATGAACACTACTGCCCAATTCGGTGTCTCAAGCCCTTCACACCACATCTTGTATGCCTGCCAGATCGCCACATGATCCGCTGCGAGCACCGCCTTCCCAGCAATCCCAACACCGATAGTGATCTTGCGCTTGAGAAGCGAGCCGCTTTCATTGTCATGCGCGATGAACACGAGATAGGCGATCCAGAAGCACGTTGATACTACGAGAGAGATGGATGCGAAATACGGAAGGAGGGGCGCGGTGTCAGTGTGTGGGGTGTGAGGCTGCGTGAGACGTCAATAGAGGACTATCAAACCTGGTTGATTACTTACGGGATCCGCTTGCGTACCACTGCTTCGACTTGCCCAGATAGTCGCAAAGATAGCGCTGACACATGAGACAAACACGAAGAGAGTATTCATCAGTGCGCGAGCGGCATTGGTGTGCTTTGCAACAAGACGGTATTCGCTTGAGCGGGGGCGCTGGGTAGCTGCGCCGTAGGAAGGCAGGAGAGGTTCTTGTGACATGGTTTGGAGTGTGTACTGCGTATGTCTTGATACTTGCTGCTAATAGAGAGAGTGTGCAGTTTGTGTTGGAGCTCTCGAAGAGGAAGTGGGGCAATTGGGGCGTGGTGGTACAGATGAGTAAGGCTCAGCTTGACTGCTGTCCGAGCTCATGAATTGAAGCTTCTCTGAGAAAAATGGTATTCTCTGACAACTGTACAAGAATCGTCTATCGCTTTAGGAAGTCAAATAATCCTCTAGTACTCTCAAAAATCTGTACCCCAACTCACCTAATCTATCGTTTCCTCTTCTCCTCCTCCAACTTCTTAGCCGCAGCCTTCTTCGCCTTCTCCCTCCTCCCAACGGCTGCCTCCGCACCAATACCACCAAAAACCAGTCCAACACCTAGCCACTGCATGCCGGTAATCTCATGACCGAACCACCACACACTCCAAACCATGGTCAGCATCTTCCTCGTGACCGTCACTGTAACAAGCAGCAACGAGCTGAAGTGGGCTAGAGTGTGGAAGATGAAGACCTGGCCTATAGCGCCACAGGCGGAGAACATGAGGACGTCCCAGCCGACAGCGGGGTATGTGGTTATGAACGAGAGCGCGTCGGAGAGTTCACCGGATGAGGAGCGTGGGTCAAGGCCAATCCAGGCAGCGATGGGAGTGGAGGCAAGGAGAGGTGTGATGAGGAGGTACGACACTGTCAGTGCTGTTGACATGATGTTCTGGGCGCACATCATCTGGGGCCCGGTAAAACCTTTGAAACTGCTGAAGATGTGATCTTGAACCGTGTTTGTAAGGCCGTCGAAGAGAAGATTTACCCCGAGCAGGATTAAACCAATAGTCTGCGAGGCGTCTGCGCTGACACCCTTCTTCGCGGCCTTCTTCGCCGTGGACGGGCTGTGTAGTGTAAAGACCGCGACTCCGAGGGTTACGAAACCGACGACGGCGTACTTGTACATTGGGTATCGCTTCTGGAAGAGCGAGATGTGGAGGAACATGACCGGGAGCAGTTTGCAGCTCTTGGCTAGGATGAAGGTGACGTAGTCAATGTGCTTGAGACTTGCGTATCCGAAGGGGGACGCGAGCGATGACGTGACGGCGATTCCGAGGAGCGGCATGAGGATGTCCTTTGAGGGGAAGATGGGTAGGACTTTGCGCACGCCGGTTTTGGGGTCTTTCTTCGCGGACAGGTTGAGGTAGAGGAGGCCGGTGATGGCAGCGAAGGCGGATTGGACGGTGTTGAGGAAGATGGAGTACGTGAAGCGCTGGTTGCTGGGGCCGTGGGTGGTGGTTGTTAATCGCTCTTGGATCCATGCCCAGGTCATGCTATCATGTGTTAGCTATGTTCCCGTCTAACGTAATATTGTACATTGCGACCTCATACACGATGAAAGCTGAACAGGTCTGCAGCCTACATTGACGTAAAAACGTACAAAGTAGGCGACATGACATCAACGTAGGCTCTAGGGTGACTTACAAACTTCCATATATACCAGCGACACAGATAACCAGCTGGAACAGCCCTGCTTCCTTTTGCTCTTGAGGGTTCCGCGCATGGAGCTCTGCTTGCTCTTCCAGCTTCTGTTCGATCGAATGCACCGCGCCGTCCAATTGGTGGTGCTGCGCGTCTCCTTTCGCGTTTCCATTCGTCTCATTGACCTTGCGACGAGAGGCTTCCGCCATTGTGTGTGCTGTATCGTGGGTATCGCTAGTGACGTCGTGGGAGTTGATTGAGGAAGGCGCGCGCCGCGTTCGTGTTGTAGCGTGTCGCGCTGTGTGTAAAGGAGTGGACTGCGCGATGATGATGCGCGAGGGATACAGAGAAACAGTGTTCCTTGAGCGACTGTGGGTCAGTGGAAAGTGTACACCTGGCTTTAGGTTTAGATTACACCTGCGCCATAGGCAGTTCTAAAGCTTCAACCGTGGCATCAGTGGCCGGGCCGGGGCTAAGACGGAGTTAGAAGCGAGCACGGGCCGTGTTTGAGCCTCAGGGATCGACTCGACCGGGGCGCGCCACCCACTCGCTAGTGTGTGGAGCGCCGCTTCACTGCGAGCTGGAGGAGCACACACACGATGCAAAGGGCGCCAATCTGCCGACTGAGTTTTCATGAGATTGTGTCATTTATTGTGGGAGAAGGTATCTACGCATAGTCTGGAAAAAGCATCAAAGCCTTCTCCGCGCTTACCGCTCCAGCCGTTCATAAGGTCGTGAAAATATGCTCGCTAAAAAAGAAGATCCAAGGCCAAACGCCAGCAGATGCAGCCCCCACTCTGTTCCGGGGCCCAGAAGGCAAGCTCACGCCTCACCTCTGACAATCTTCGAAACAGCGCTCTTGACCAGCACCCACATTGGCCCAGCGTTGACTTCCTTGCCGCCGCCCTCCTCCATCCCGCATTTCCTCTTCCACGCATCTCTCCACCCTCGCTCCGTATCCTTTTGTTTGAGCCTCATCAGTTGCCCCGCTCGCTTTCCTTGCCTTCTGTACCCCGCCATGAATGCGTCCCATTCTTTCCTCTCCTTGACGAAGACGACTACTCCGTTTCCTGCATCGATAGGCTGGCTGCCTCTAGATAGAATCCGCGCTTCCCACGCGCTGCCCATGGATTGAAACGTGAAGTTCGCGCTATGCAAGACGTAGTAGCGCTTCCGCTTGCCGAACTTTGACGCAGCGTTGGAGGAGGGCGTGATCCAGTGTGTTGCGCGTGAGTAGATGCCGTCTGCAAGTGCCTCGTGGAGAAGCTCTGAAGGGATGTACTGGCGGCACTGAAGAAGCAACTTGTTACGGAGCAGACTGATGTCGATGTCTGGGTGGGCGGTAGGTATTTGTGGCGAATGAGACAATAGTGCCTTGGTTTGCGTACGCGTTGATCGCGCTGGTGGCTTCGATATGCGTCCTGATGCTCGAATGACAGTGACTGGGTTGCTGAATTGGTGAGGGGTAATCGTCTGCGTTTGGATGGGCGCCATGATAGTCGTGGTGCTCGGTTGAGAGTGGTGTGTGCTTTGTAGGCGGTGTCAAGTCTCGTAGGCTTCAAACCGTGAATCCGTATGGTGTTGTCTGGTAGGGGAGTTGCGGATGGAGTAAGGAATATTGTGGAGGAGCAGAAGCGAGGCAGAGAGGGAACATGCGGTCAAGAAATCATCTTTAACCATCATGCACCCCTTCCTAGAAGAGCTAGCTCCTGAAAAGAAACAGCTACTACCCAGCCTTCGGAAATCAGTCGGGGTGCCAAATCTGTCTCTGCCCTAGTCTACCGCCTGCCCGCGTCTGGCGTCTGGGCGATCCTGGAAGGATTAGCGAGGCACACGAAGCCTGCCTGCCGAACCTCACCGTGGGCGAGCATCCCGCGCCTGCAGCGTTTGTCGTTCGAGCTTGTGCTTCTCCAAGGACTTCTTTGACGGAACACCTTCCTCTCACTGCTGAACCCTCTGTGGAAAGCTCAGTTGTTGTGGCGAAGACATCGTGCTCCGGTGCTCAGCGTCCGAGCGTGACACTAATGACGTATTCCCGATTGGAGGGTCCAACGGTTCGGAACATCTGGGCAGCCTCGTTCTGCACGTGCAATGCTGCACTCATTTCCCCTTGGGCAGCACCATCATCAAACCTTCGCAAGTACCACATCACGTTACGAGTAGTTCGCAGTCTAGACACTATCATCATAGAATTCTAAATATTGGTAGTAGATGTTGTTTGTTTGTATCGGAGTGTCGGTAGGGGAGCAAGGGAGAGGGAAGGGTTTCGGGTAAGGAGTGAGGGAGTGATTAGGAAGGTACATCGGAGTGTCGGAGTAGAGCTCGGGACGTGGTGAGAAGCTTCTCACTTCTTCCCAACTCTTCTTCGCCAAGAAAACCCAAAGATGGATGTCAGAGCTGCTACCCTTGAGCAGATGTACTATCCGGATATCAAAGGCCATAACGTCATGACATTCGTGAGCCGCTCAGCGTGCACTCAGTTCTCTCTCGACAATAGTAAGAAAAGTAAATAATGCTCCAGACAATCCGTGGTATCCATCAGTAACAGCAAGTAAGAAATTCAGCAATTCCATGCTTTTGTTGTCGGTTTTCGTGGTCTCCGTTTCGGGAGACATGAATGCAGATGGCGACGGATGTGAAGAGCTGG